AATAAAAATTATTATAATTTTTTCCATTTTCTATACTAAGCACAATTTGTTAACCCTCAATAATTTAAACACATGCAGAATGTGGGCTCATCCCTTGAAATCCTGTTTAAGGTAAAACAGAAACATCTCCACTTAGGGGCAAAACTTATCTTAGATCTTATGCTTTCAAGACACCTCACACTGTAGTTCATTAAAATATCTTACCTATTTGAAAAAGCTCAATGAGAATGATATTCTGTCTGTTCTCTTGGGAGAAAAATGGAAGAGTATCTGTAAGAATATGTTGTAAAGCCCAGGGTAGGTGTGAATCAATGGCACAAAATAGGATACTCTAGAAATATAGATATGATATCCATACTCTCCAGTATGGCAGCAACTAGTCACATGTGCCCACCAAGCACTTGAAATGGGGTTTGTGTGACTGATAAAGTAAAAATTTAAATTAATGCTTTGATCTAAAATAGAATGTTTCCATGTGTATAAGAGATAAAAATACATAGAACCTCTGGGACCACATTCAGCCTTAGGACTTGCTTTTTTTTTTCCAGCCTATAGTACATATAAAAAGCAGAGTTGATTCCAGGAAAAGGCGCAAAGCTACACAGAGAAACCCTGTCTCGAAAAACCAAAAAAAAAAAAAGCAGAGTTGATGCTCAAACTGGACAGATTGTGGACAGTTATTATAGACCAAATCCATCTGGTAGGCTTATAGCTGAATGTATGCATTTCCAGTACCTAACAATTGAATCTACGAAGCCTTTGGGCAGTCCCATTTTATTTGACTTTGTTACTTGCCTGATCTGTGTGTGTGTGTGTGTGTGTGTGTGTGTGTGTGTGTGTGTGTGTGTGTGTGCTCCTGTTTATCTTATATCTATGGTTCTTTAAGTACAGAATGGTATCAATGGATATGACAGGGATCCTTCCAAGTGGACACCTTCATCCAATGTTAGGCATTTGGAGCCCAGTGAAGAAATAAGAGAAAAGTCCTTTACATTAATTCTTCCTTAAGGTAACCTCTTTCAGTGCCATTAGCAATTACAGTCAGGCGAATACTAATTAACCTTTAAATATGGGCTTTAGGGTGTAGGCAGGGAAATGTAAGAGAAAGAATAAAATTCTCAATTAGACCTTTAAAGGAGTAATTTCTCATGAGAATTTCTGAACTTTTGGAATTTTAATATGACCAATTAAGAGTTATCTTTACCCAAAGGGGAAATAACAGGGACAGGATCCCTCAAGAGGCAGATTTGCTCCAGTCCTCAGGACAGTCTCTGTGCTTTTAAAGGACAAATTCTCTTCAGACTCTTAAGCTTTGTTCTGAATCTTCAGGAACATGACTGGGTCACTTTCAATGAGTGATTTCCCTCCTTGGTTCAGAATATGGCTTCCTATTTGTCCACCTATGTGTTTATAATTATATGATCTATATTAATATTTTATTGCTTCATTAAAATACTCATTTTTGTTATTATACTGCGTCTAAACTCTGTAATTTCTAAAGAATATGGAAAGTTCTTCCTGTCTTCTAAAGGGTGGTGGTATCTGCATCCAAATTCTTTTGCTCATCCAATGATCTAATGTCTCACCAAATCTGTCTGTATCTCCCAATTGATAATCCCCCTGCTTCTGTGATAAAATGAGAGAACTGGGGTTGGCCACAGAAGGTTTTTCTCCTTCCCCATTGTTCCGAGGAGATCAGGGTCTCAGTCTGGGTTTTCCAGGAAGCAGAGCTCAAGACACAGTCTGTGTATATGAGGACTGTGTTGAGGAATGTGATGCCTGGGAGGAGATGGGAGAAAGAGAAGAAACAGAGAAGCAGGGGGAGGGAGTTCATGTGAGGATGTATTATTAAGTTGACTGCTGTCAGAGTTGGCAATCCCTCCAGATCATCAACAGGCTTCATGAAAAGCATCTCATCCCATTTACTCATGGATAGAAAGAAGGAAGTATTTGTATATCATCGTCTTAATATTCAATGGTCAAAAGCTGATACTCTGCCGCCCTTCTCAGTTGTCTGTACACTGAGCGCATTCCCACAGGAGCCCACACTGCCGTGTCACTACAGAGCTTCAGTACAGGAGATGAACAGATCATAGTAGAGGTAAGAGGCACAGCACTTGAACACTGTCTGGTCAAGCTCACTAGGGTCAAGAAAAATATAATCTCCTCTGTAAACAGAGAACCAAAAGTCAATACAGCCCCAGCACATGGTTAACTTGGGAGCTTTGTGAGAGTTTCCCGAACGAAAAGGGAAACATATATTGGGAAGGTTGATAGCAGCTTTATCCAAGCCCCAAGTCTTTGTCTCTATAATAAAATGTTTGGGAATAAAAAAAAAGAATATGGAGAGTAAGAATGATCTTTTATGAATCATTTTAAGAATGATAAGATATTTTTTGATACAGGGTTTCTCTGTGTAGCCTTGGCTATCCTGGATCAGCGCTGTAGAGGAGGCTGGTTTTGAATTCAAGGATCCATCTGCCCCTGCCTCCCGAGTACTGGGATTAAAGGTGTGTGCCACTACTGCCCAAAATCCTGTCTCCAAAACCCAAAATAAAAACAAAAAGAAGCCGGGCGGTGGTGGCGCACGCCTTTAATCCCAGCACTCGGGAGGCAGAGGCAGGCGGATCTCTGTGAGTTCGAGGCCAGCCTGGGCTACCAAGTGAGTTCCAGGAAAGGCACAAAGCTACTCAGAGAAACCCTGTCTCGAAAAAACAAAAAAACAAAAAAAAAAAAAAACAAAAAGAATAGTAAGGTATATTAATTAATGTGCTATTAAAGGCAAAACTTGGGGAAGATAGGAAGAGTTATAAATATGGCCTACATTATTCTACATTCCTTCTACTCAAGTGCAATCTACTTCTTCAGAGAGCACACAAAAACAGAAACCATTTTTTGGAGTTGTTATAGGAAAGCATAATGCCTCTCAGAATGAATAGATTCCCTTGTGTTCCTAGGCTTCAGTTATAGTAATTATAAACTGTTAGCACAAGTAAAATTTCATATTGTTAGAAACCTTCAGTTCTGAAAACCTTTAAAGCTAAGATAAAAGTGTCTGCTCCTTTTGGCTGGCAACTAAGGATTTTGAAACAATATGTAGCATGTTAAATACTTCTTTTATCAAATACCATACCAACAAATCAATGAAAGCCATGTATTTCCTCTCCTCAGATATAGATTTTGCTTGAACTGAAAGATAACAAATACTAGATTGGTATTCCAGAGTATACAATGAAATAGAAGGATCACTATCAAATGACAAAAGTTCTTCCACAAAATTTTGCACATACAATTAATATATTCACAGTCAGATCTACAGCATTCCCTTGAATACCTACTGCACAAGATATAATTACTACAAAAGATTTATAGGTTTCCAAGCTCAAGACATCTGGCTATTTGATAACATTTTACAAACACAATTAATCTTCTCATTTAGAAATACATTCCTCTGTGACAATATCTTGTGTCTTGACAATTTCTTCACTGAATATATTTATCACCAAATAATTTATAAGATAAATATGAGGATACAACTCCATCAACAACAGTAAAAACATGCATGCTTATCATTTACATGGATTCATCATCATATTTAAAGTCCTATATATAGAAGTGTTATATTATGGACAGAAATAGTCTTAATAAGGTATCAGAAATCCTTAGAAAAGTGTGAGAAACAACTTCCAAGATGGAATCATCATCAAGTCATCTCTTCATTTTCCTCCAAAGAAGAAGGAATATTTCCAAATGTTTATGTACTAACACTTATACATATATTCATCTAAGTCATAAAATCATTTCTCATTTTCTCAAAACTGTTCTTACTTCTATAGTAAGAAGTAGAAACAGAGAAAAGACTACCCTGTATCCTTGACTCTGCTAATTCAGACCAGTTAACATATAAGGTTAATGCATATTTTGCTGAAAGTACATTGTAGGTGTTCCATAAGTAGACTGTTAACATACTGAAAAGAATGACCTTGATTACTTCCAGGTGCATAAACCTGAAAGTCTTTGTCTAAAGCAAGCCTGACCCACTTTAACAAGGATTGTTGGCGTCTATTATTTATATGGCTTCAGAGAACAATAGAGGTTCAATAGTATCTAAATAATGACTCTGAACCTACAGGCTTTTATTAATGTAGGAGGAAGGGTGCTTTTTCTGCGACATACAGGAATTGTGTAAACAGCTTTGATGCAGATATCAGCAAGCACTTGGAAGTGCATGCTGCTGTGAAGGTGTCTGGAACACTCTGCCCCATCCACTTCTAGGGAAGCAGCATATGCTAATTATAAATAATTTATCTCTTCATTAAATTAGGTGCCCTAAGTATCCCTGAATAAAAATTGTTAATCTTGTGTTATTTAATCAAGTAAATACTCATCCTATCACATAATCCTGATCATTTTCCAAAATGTTGACATTTTTATCTTAAGCTTTTACTTCTTTATTTATACTTTCTTTTTCTGACAGCTGAAGGTTTTGGTGAACAAGTTTTTACATGATCTTGAAAGTGAAGATTTTAACATGGCTTTTAAAAAATATGAATGGAATAATTTTCTCTTGAAAATAATTTAAATTACTTATGTAAAAAAATGCATTTAATTTTTTTCACATTTATTGAGTCTCTGAACACATACCCAATATAAGCAAAAAAGGAAGGACAAGAACATATTAAAAAATGATTCAAACACCACTTAATTTCAAGCCAATAAGGAATGTGTTCTTGATATCTTATAACTTAATTTGTAATCTAAACACATTATAAATTCAATTACACTATAAGTTAGTGAAAAGACAAATCATATTTATGGTTTTCCTTTAATTCAGATTTGTTTCCAAAAAGATTAAATGTTCGTGGAATCAGTTCTGTTGAACACACCACAGATCTATAGCACTGTGCATCTATTACACCCTACAGATAGGAGAATATAATGAAGCTAAACTAGTTACCATTGCTACACTTTCATTTCCATGTTCAACATTCCCACATTACCTGTAATGAGGTGAAGGGTTGCCTCTTGCTTCACAATTTAAAGTTATTTTTTTATCCTCTGAACCAACAGGGAAAACACTGTTGCTGGGCTCTTTGATAAACACGGGGCCTTGTAAAACAAGCTCACCTGTGTGGAGAGGGGAAGAAAAAAATAATAGTAAATGAAAGGTGTTATAAAGGATACAGTCTAGAGTTGAAGATGAAGAATGGCAACTATCATTTGCTCTTAACTGCTCCTACTGCCTACCAAGTAGCATGCTGTGTGAACATTGCGTGGTTAAAGAGCACCTGTCAATCCATTCTCAACAGTGAGTGAAGCCCCCCTCCAGAAGCAGGAAACCACAAGAAACACCACATATTAATAAAAATCAATTCAGTCTGCAAATAAAGCTGTAGTGTTTACTTTCCACAACAATAACCATACACTATACATACATGGTCTTTGGAGAATAAATTAATTACAGGAAATCTTTTCTATCAGAAGTCTTTTTGCAAAACTAAAGCTGAAATGGAAACCCATCACTTTTCTCATAACATTTGAAAAACATGTGCAGTTCAAGGCTGTCTATGCTATTTTGCCACTGTCAATGAAAAAATATCCAGTGTTCACTGGGATTTTCATTTTCTTCATAGTAAATGACATAAAAGGATACAGAAATGATCACTGGGATTTTCATTTTGTTCATAGTAAATGACAGAAAAGTATAAAGAAATGTCCAAGTGCCTTTCAAAAAGTTTTCCTACTTTATAGTTGACATATTTTCTGAAGGTAATTGTCATATCCACACATACAAAAATAAAATTCTAATTGTACTAGGTGTTGGGAAAGGAGAGAGAGAAAATGCTATCATGAAACAGTTATGCAATTGCAATTGTGTAACCATTGTTAGAACACTTATAAAAACAAATTCACAGAAACAAAATTGAAAAGGGAACTCTTTACTCCCCTGACTCGGAATGCTCTGCCAAATTGAAGAGGAGTTTCTACTGAAGCAGAGAGGGTAAAATGATCAAAACGACAAAGAGAGTCCATGAAATATGAGACACAGAAAATGAGATTGAATAGTTTCAAAAGCCTCTGAAAAGAACTTGCATTCTTATATACTTCAGCTAGTAGTAACACAAATAGAAATATTTACCACAACAAGGTAAATCATAAACTCACAACATGAAAACCACAATAATCGTTGAGATGAAGGACACATCAGTATCTAAGCTTCGGAGTAAATTCTACATGCCCAGATATGCTTTTTAATCATGAAGCTGTTCTACGTGTGAGCACCACAGTTCTGTTCAGGGTACAGAAGAAGAAAGCTGGGCCTAAGCATGGGTCCATGCCATAAGCCTGTCCACCCAACATTTCAGAATGTCAATGTCCAGTACAGGAGCAGTCACTCCAGGACTCGTATAAAGACTCATCTTTGCCCTTTTTGTAAAGCATTTGGCATTTATCTAATTCTAGGATTGGCCCTAGGCTTCTGTGAGATACTGCATGACATAGCTAACCAGTGGATTTTTCTTTGAGGTGGCTTACTTTTCTCTTTTGGTGATAAAATAATGTGACCAGGACAACTTAAGGAAGAAAATGTTTACTTTGGCTCATAGTTTTTGAAAGATAAGAGTCCATCATGATGAAGAGGCATGGCAAGAAGCTGCAGGCATGTCAGCCAGGGCAGGAAGTTGAGAGAGATCCTATTCTCAACCATAAGCACAAATCACAGAGAGTGAACTAGTTATAGCAAATTCTACCTCCAGTGATGTATTTCTAGCAATGCCACATCTTCTAAACCTCCTCCCCCACTAGGAATCAAGTGTTCAAAAATCTGAGCCTATGGGAGACATTCTAATCCAAACCACTACAGGTATGGATAGCCATACTCGACTTGTGAGTCAGGCTAGCCAATATTTTTGTTGGAGACTGGACACACCAGAAAGATCAACCATGTGATTATATGCTGTGGGATGTTCTGTATGGCAAATGTGTTGCTCTGATTGGTTGGTAAATAAAACACTGATTGGTCAGTAGTCAGGCAGGAGGAAGTATAGGCTGAACAAGGATGAGAATAAAACTGGGAACTGGAAGGCTGAGTCAGAGACATGGCCAGCCACCATGATGACAAACAGCATGTGAAGATGCTGGTAAGCCACGAGCCACGTGGCAAGGTATATATTCATAGAAATGGATTAATTTAAGATATAAGAACAGTTAGCAAGAAGCCTGGTATGGCCATACAGTTTGTAAGCAATATAAGTCTCTGTGTTTACTTGGTTGGGTCTGAGCGGCTGTAGGGCTGGCAGGTGAGAGATTTGTCCTGACTGTGGGCCAGGCAGGAAAACTCTAGCTACAATTATACATGAAAGATTTGAGTCTCAGGACATCAAACTGATCTGGAGACTGAATTCAGCCATTTATGTAATCACTAGTCAGACCAGGATAACAGGGCCTCAAAGCCACTCATACTACTACATCTAAGTTCCGGGTCTATAACACTACGATTTAGTTCAAGAAAATGACAGATGGGTGAGTGTGTTAGGGGGGATATGTTGGTGGGGTGGGCAAGAGAAGGGTGGGAGGGGAAGCTGTAGTTGGTATGTAAAATGAATGAAAAGTAAAAATCAAACAAACAAAACATTAGACAGAGCTCAGGGAGTCCTGTGGAGGAAGGAGAGGAAGGATCAGAGGAACCAGAGAGGTCAGAGATACCATGAGAACATGGCCCACAGCATCAATTGACTGGTACTCAAGAGGGTCACATAGATCAGGGAGCCTGTAGGGGTCTGACCTAGATCCTCTCCATATATATTACTGCTGAGTAGCTTGATGTTCTAGTGAGATTTCTAACAGTAAGAGTAGGGGCAGTCACTGACTCCTTTGCCTGCTTGTAGGACCTTCCTCCACCTACTGCCTTGCTTCATCCAGCCTTGATGTGATAGTGTGTGCCTGGTTTTATAGTAACATATTATGTCATGTTTGGTTGATATCTCTGGGAGGCCTGCTCTTTCCTCAGGGGAGATAGAGGAATGGTGGATCTGGGGGAGAGGGGAGGTGGAGGGAAGAGACTGGGGGGAAGGGAATGAAAAAGATAGAAAGTAATAGATTTGGAGATGAGCTACAAGATAGAATTTGGATAGTTCTAATGCTAAACATTTCTTGTATTCAAGATATGTTATTCTGCTGGCATAGACAAAGTACAATACACAGACATGTTACCAACCAGGAAAACTATCTTAGCAGTTCCAACTTTCAAATTGCCCACATTTTCAAGTTTACTGTAGTACAGAAGCAGTATGTATGCAGTATGCAGTAAAAATCACAATTGGAATTCTGGATTGTGATCTTTTAGGAAGCTGAGCTTCAATATCAAGCCTTGCTTTGAGGCTCAAGTATGATCCCAAGATTAAATAATTAATACTCTATCTCATTCCTATGCCAGAATGTTCACTGGGATGATGTGTTAGGGGCATTTTCAACTTGCAGTGGGTTTACCAGTGCATCATATCACTCAGTATAGGTCAGCAGATACCTGTTTGTTTGTTAATAATCTAGTCACATGGTACACCTTCAACATTAGTCTGTTTTTTTTTTGCATTTCTAGCATATCTTTATTATTTTCTTTAATGAATGTGAAGTCCAAAGGTGAAAGATGTAGATGTGCTAATGTAGATATTTTACATATTTTTCCCACCCAAACAGGAAGGATTTTGAGACTTTGAAATGTTTAGCATTGAGCTTATTTTAGAATGCATCCGTCATTATTCTAAATAAATGGGAATTGTCATTTAGTTCAATATAGAATAATCATCTCATTGGCGAGACTGACACACAGATTCTTAGTGGGGCAGACGAAACTGTGTTAAGGACAGGGATATGATCAAGCTTCGTTAGCCAGGTTATCTGGAGAAAGTGACCTTTATACATACTGCTACCATCAACTTCTACCATTTAGTTTTACTTTGGCATCAAAATCTTTGGCATTTGTAATTTGGGAAGTGTGTCTAAAGGAAAATAGATACTCCTTTTTTAATTTAATTTTTCTATTTAAAATTAAGTTGGATATTTTTTTTTAATGCCAAACGCCGTTTATTGAAGGAGGGAGGAGGTCTTAAATACAGGCTTACAGCACAATGGGAGAACCCCGAAGGACAGAAGTTCTCTACCAATGTTTTACAATCTTGCATCTAAGCTGTTAACCGCCATTATGCAGAATACACAGAAAAGGAACTTTTGTTATGTATAAACAACTCTAGTGAATTGTTTGTATTTCCCATAATAATTCTTTATTAGGAAAATCCCATTTTAAAAATGTGTGGTTATTAAAATAAGATTTTAAGTCCCAGTCTTACCTACCTATCTTGGAGATGGTTTGGCTTCAAACCATTGAGGCATAGAGAGGCTAAGTCACCCCAGGAACGGCAATACAGATTCTCAGTGACAGACTTGGTATCAGACACCAACCTTCACTGCTTTGCTTTGTGTCTATTTCCCAGAAACCATTCTGTCCTAAATATAGTCAAGCAAAAATTATCCCATAGCCTGCTTTTTCAACTTCAGTGTCTGATGGTGACACTGGAATTAAGAACTTGTAGAACACAACCACCATGTCTACAATTTAAAGACCTCGAAGGCATTGAAGACTATCAGTGGCCATGAGGAAGCTTTTAAATCTTTAAAAGTAAGAAGAAAGTAATAATCAGGTTAGTCCATGCTTCATGCTCAGATAAAAGACAAAAGCTACTCAGTCTTAGTGCATTGGAATAAAATAGGCGGTGAGAGATGCTGGGACATGGTGTTCTAACCTCTCACCAGCAAAACAAACTTAAAAGAAGCAGATGCTGGCCTTTGCCAAACACAAAGGAATTATGCAACATCTTCTTCAAAATGAATTCTGATCCTCAAAAAGATATAGCCTTTATCCACATGGATACTCATAACAATCTAAAGGAACCTGATGTGTCACAGAAGGTAGCATCTTGCCTGATTGAACATATTCAATGTAACATTTAGATTGATGTTGAACTTGACTTTTTGTGACAGGGACATTTTTTTAAAAATATGCTAGCCTGGTTGCAAAGACCCATTTTAACTTTACAACTTAAAGGATATATAACATCGCTGAATAGGACAAA